TACCGACCTCTCTTTATCTATCACTGCCTTCCGTTCAAGGTTATAGATGATTTCTTTGTGTTGTTCCTCTTCCTTCCTCAACTGATTTTCCCGCTCGGCAAATTTCGCCAAAATCTCGTCTTTCTGCAGCCGAAATTCCTCCAAGGCGGCCAACTTCCCACCTGCGCAAGAAGGAAAAAAAAATTATAAAGAATGACTCCACCATTTTATCTATCTATCATCTTACATCTATCTATCTATCTATCTATCTATCTATCTATCTATCTATCTATCTATCCATCCATCCATCCATCTATCCATCTATACCTACCTAACGTACTTTCCTATCTCTATCTATCTATCTGTCTGCTATGGTGGCGCAGTGGTTAGAATGCAGTATTGCAACCTAACTCTGCCCACTGCCAGCAGCTCGATCCTGACCAGCTTAAGGTCGACTCAGCCTTCTGTCCTTCCGAGGTCCGTCAAACCCGAGGACCCCAGATTGTCGACGACTCTAAACCGCTCAGAGAGAGCTGTGAAGCAGCATGTCAGTCTAAGGGCCACTGCTGCTGCTATTATTATTATTGTTGTTCTTATTGTTACTACCATTAAAGAATTGCCCGCCAATCTGGCTTACTCAGCAGCATGTTCTCCGAGGTCAGCTGATCCTTGGTTTCTTGGAATTCGTGCCTCAGCTGGACCAGCTGGGTTTCGAACGCGTCCTTCTCCAAGTCTTTGGCCTGCTGGAGGTTCTGCAGCTGAAGGCTCAGCTCCGCGATCTCATCCACCCGTTGGTTGAGTGTCTTCTTCAGGAAGGCCACAATCTCCTTGTTGTCAGTCAACATTTTCTCGTATTCGTTCCGGAAAAGTTCTTCGCTTACCTGCAACTGGTCCCATTTCTGCTGGTACCTAGCAGGATGTCAACACCCCGCCCCCCCCCGTCGGTCCCGGGGCGGGGGCCCCCAAATCAATCAGTCTCGACTTATGACCACAATGGACACCCCCCCAAAAAATATTTCCGTTGCTAAGCGAGGCAGGGCCAATTTTACGAGACCATTCTTGCCACAATCGCCGCAGTGGTTGGAACTTTGCGTGTCCAAAGGTTGAAAAAAAGGGATCACACTTGACCACCCACCCCGGGACATTGGGAAACCGTCATAAATATGAGTCGGTGGCTGAGCAGCCAAATTTTGATCACCTGACTAGGGGGAATCTGTAATGGTCATAAGCACAGATAGTTCTCAACTTACAAGAGTTCATTTAGTGACCGTTTGGCATTGCAACGGCACCAGAAAGAGCGACTTACGACCATTTTTCACACTTACGACTGTTGCAACATTCTGTTGTGGTTAGCCGGCAGCAGGTGAGGACGGCTGAGGAGAGCGAGGACTCAGGTGAGGGGCCAGGACCATCAGGGAGTGGACTGCTGCCTTCAGAGACTATGGGGGCTGGCAGCAGCGATGAGGAGGTTCCTGAGGAGCCTGTGCCAAGTGCGCATGCGCGCAGGATTGCTTGGAGGAAAGAGCAGCTACAACAGCATGGGCGACTCAGGAGTAAGGCTGCAAGGTAATGGCCCCTCCTTCAAGAAGATAAAAGCCAGCTGTGTAACTAACATACTTTGCAGAAGGCAAAGACGTTTTGAAACTCCAGCCTCATGGACATTCTAGTATCCTGAGTTTCTATTTGAAGATTCTTATTTTGAAAATTATTTCTTGTCTGTTCTCTTTTGGCAAGTCTTGCACAGTTTGGGGTTAGGGTTAGGGTGTAATTATTTTGTAAAAGCATTACAAGGTTTCTGTTCCTTTTGGGTTGTGTTGGATTTGTTGGAAAAAGGTGTGGGTCAGAACACATTCCTCCCCACATGGTCACAGGATCAAAATTTGGGCACTTGGCAACCGACTCGTATTTACGACGGTTTGCAGTGTCCCGGGATCACGCGGATCCCCGTTTTGCAACCTTCTAACCAGCAAAGGCCACGGGGGAAATACTAAGATTCATTTAACAGCCATGTTGTTAGTGGAAAAAAACCACGGAAATTCACTTAACAACCGCAACGAGATTAAATCCTTTGAGGTTTTTAGAAGTTTGGCTCGAGAATCATGATTTAATTGGGGCAATTGCTGGAATCCTGACACTGAGGACTCCCTGTTTTAAAACACCAGAAGTCCTTCCAGAGGTGTGGATCTCTACTCCCACAATCCCCCCGCAGCCCTTGCCGGCGTTGTGGAGAATTCTGGGAGTCAAGAGTGTTGTGGAATTGCAACCTGAAAAGAAACCCTGAGTAGTGCGATTCCTTCAGCGGCTTTAAAATCTGTGATTTTGCACCAAGGGCTTTGGGGCAACCGGTAGAACTCTTGAACGGGTACCAAACTCGGGAATTTCAACCCACCAGGGAACAAATCCTCAGCCAGAAACCTGAAGGGGAGGAAAAAGGAACCCCCCAAAATGCAGTGGGGTATCTGTGCCAAATGTTTGCCAAGCTCTCATTTGGACATCCGTCTGTCTGAAACGGGATCCAATAGGGTTTCCTGGCTGATGGGGTTGGACTATAAGACCTCCAAGATCCCTTTCCAACTTGGTTATTCTGTTCTAGTCATTTATCTGGCCCAGGATGGGATGACAAGCTAGAAAAAAAATCCCGATTTTTTTTTTTTTTTGATTCGCTTGTGATTTTACCCAATTCTGTTTTTCGGCAGCGACTTGGAAAAAAAAAAGAAGAGACTTGGGGAGCGAAGCGAAGCCCAGCCTGCTCCAGATCCAAAATTTTTAAAAAGGTGGGAAAAAAAATATGTCAAGGTTCCCTACCTGCCAAGCCTGCCCCCTCACCCCACATCACCCACCCACCCGGACTCACCGGGCCAGGCGCCCCTCCAAATCTCGGATCTGGATGAGATAAAATTCTCGGCTGTGTTCTGGCACGATATTGTCATCCACCTCTGGCTCTTTGGGGGTCTCTTTTTTGCGCCCCCTTTTTTTGGGTGCCATGGCAGACCTTCAGGCACTTCGGGAAAGCGAGGAGGGGAAAAAAAAAAAGGAACTGGAACAGGGGCTCTTTAAAAGCCAGAATGCCTCCCCGGTTGCTAGGTGAAGGAGATGTACATAGCAACGGAGCCGCGGAATCTAAGAAGAGCGTCGGGCATCCATTCAAGAACCAACGCTCTGTCTCCAGCAGGGAAGGATTCCACTCCTAGGGCAGCCTTTCAGGTGCCTTCCACAAGGTCTGGACTACAGATCCCCTCCTTCCCAGCCAGAGGGGGGCCTGTAACATTGGGGGGAGGGCTTGGAGAGAAGGAAGGGGAGGGAGGGAGGGTTGGGAAAAGGGAAGGAAGGAGTAAAGAATGAAAAAAAGGAAAGGAAGTAAAAACGAAAGGAAGGAAGGAATGAGAGGAGAGGAAAAACAAGGAAGGGAGAATCGGAGAAAAGGAAGGAGTAAAGAATGAAAAAAGGAAGAAAGGAAAGGAAAATGAGAAAAGGAAGGGATGGGATGGGAAGGGAAAGGAAAAATGGAAGGAAGGGTTGGAGAAAAGGAAGAAAGGAAAAAGGAAGGAAAATGAGGAAAGGGAGAGAGGGTGGGAGGAGAGGAGGAGGGAGGGTTGGAAAAAGTGAAGGAGGGGGTAAAGAATGAAAAAAATAGAAGGAAGAGGAAATGAAAGGAAGGAAGAGAGGAAAAACAGGGAAGGAAGGGTTGGAGAAAAGGAAGGGGTAAAGAATAAAGAAAGGAAGAGAGGAGAAAAGAAAGGAAAATGAGGAAAGAAAGGAAAGGAAAAGAAAGGAAGAGAAAGGACAGAATGGGACAGGACAGGAAAGGAAACACAAAAGGAAGGAAGGATTGGAGAAAAGGAAGGAATGGAAAAGGAAAGGAAAATGAGGAAAGGGAGGGAGGGAGAGAGGGAGGAAGAAAGGGAGGGAGGGTTGGAAAAATTGGAAAGGAGTAAAGAATGAAAAAAGGAAGAACGGAGAACTGAAAGAAAATGAGAAAAGGAAGGAAAGGAAAGAAAGGGAAGAGATGGGATGGGAAAGGAAAGCAAAAAGCGGAAAGAAGGAAGGGAGGGTTGGAGAAAAGGAAGAATGAAAAAGGAAAGGAAAAGAGGAAAGGGAGGGTGGGAGGGAAGAGAAGGAAGGAAGGAAGGAGATGAGATTGAGGAAGGAAGGAAGGAAGGTGAGATTGAGGAAGGAAGGAAGGAAGGAGGGAAGGAAGGAAGGAAGGAGATGAGATTGAGGATGGAAGGAAGGAGGGAGATGAGATTGAGGAAAGAAGGAAGGAAGGAAGGAAGGAAGGAAGGAAGGAAGGAAGGAAGGAAGGAAGGAAGGAAGGAAGGAAGGAAAGGCATCAGAGAAATGGAGGGATCCGGGAGGCTAGCCCATTTTTTTCTGTGCAAAAGTCTTTATTGCATCAATAAAAATTTGGGTCAGGATTGTCCTTGCACAGCAAGGCGCCATCTCTAGCAGGCGGGCCGAGCCCAAAGAAACCCACCTCTGGTCTTTGCTCACCCTCCCCCCCTCTCTTATCCAAACAGTTGAAGCAACCCCCACCCCCCCGCGTGTCTGGTGAGGAGGGGGAAATGGGCGCTTCCATTCCCAGATCTGTCTTTTCTCTCCCACTCTACGTAAACTGGAAGGCGGACCTGGAAGTGAGAAAAGCACCAATGAGTCACCCAAATCCCTTGGACCGGACGACACAGATCAGAGCAAATGTCACCAAAGCCTCCACTCAGCCTCTGAAGAAAAGGCTGCTTAGAAATATCAGAAATAAAAAAGAAAAATAACACAAAAATATCCCCTGGAAAACCTGACACTGACAGCTCCCGGGGGGGGTTTCTCCCCTCTCCTTCTTCATCTTTCCTTTCCTTCTCTTCCCTTCTTTTTTTCCCTTTCCTTTATCCTTTCCTTCCCTTCCTTTTTTCTTCTTTTCCTTTCCCTTTCCTTTCTTTCCCTTTCCTCCTTTTCCTTTCTCCTTCCTTTCCTTCTTCCTCCCTCCCTCTTTTTTCCCATTTTCCTTTCATTTCCCCTTCCTTACTTTTCTTTTTTCATTCTTTACTCCTTCCTTCCTTTGCGGCTTCTTCCTTTTCTTTCTTTCCTTCCCATCCTTTTTCCTTTCCTTTTCCCTTCCCTTTCCTTCTTTTCCTTTTCCATTCATCTTTCCTTTCCTTTCTCCTTCTTTCCTTCCTTTCTTTTCAATCTTTCCTTTCCCTTCCCTTCCTCCTTTCCTTACCAGCCAGAGGTTACAGCTCATCTCGAGATGCTGTGGGGAAGGAATGGCTGATGGGGCCTCCGTGGCCCACACCTCGGGGGTCCTTCAGCGTCTTCTGCGAGCCACTCCAGGTGGTTTTCTGCGAATCATCATCCCAGATGGTGGAAAACTCCGTATCGCTCATCCATTCGGCGTCCCCAGCATAGTGGGAAGGATAAGCCAGGTAGGGACGGATGGAAAAAGCCCGCAGATCTCGGCTGCCGAAATACTTTTTGTAATCCTCACTGCGGGAGAGAGGAAAGAAAGGGAAATTATGCACAGCCTTCAACTGTAAAACTCTAAGAAATTGAAAAGACCTTTGGACATAAAGACCAATAATCTATTCCTCAAAATATGTGC